GTGAGAGAGAGAGAGAGACAGAGACAGAGAGAGAGAGAGAGAGAGAGAGAGAGAGAGAGAGAGACAGAGAAAGAAAGAGAGAAAATAATATCATTTTTTATCATAGTTGAGGAGGTGAACCCTAACCTAACAACTCACCTAAAAAAAACCTGTTAATTTAACCATAACCATAGTTTTTGGTTTTATTTATAGTAAAACCATGGTTTATTTTTGTAAGGGAAGAATGGTCAAACAATTATATTTCCGTTATGAGTCAGGCTACAGGTCTGTTATCACACGGTTCACATAATTTTTTTTGTGTTCATATTAAACACAATAAGACAATAAAGCTCACCGATGACAAAAGAACATCCTGTCCGTCTTAGAAATGGATTTCCTCTGACATGAATTAGCATAAATTCTATATTGCTAGCCTCTGGACCTCTTTCACATTAGCAGAAGAGCTTAATGTATCCAGCATACACCTGGATTCATATTTAATAACTAGAAAATGATATCAAAGAAGATTTAAAACTGTTCAAGCTAATTACACATAGGCACTGAAGATGGTTTAAACTCTAAAACATAAGAATGTACCTAGCGCAGGTGTGATGCTAGCAGGGTGGCCTAGCTTGACACCAGCTCTGCAGGCTTTGTCAGTAGAGACTCTCATGTTAATTACAGTCCCACTGTCTAATTACTCATCAGCTGGCAGGAGAACAGCACCCGTCTCAAAATAGCAGCAGCTAATCCTTTGATTGAAGAGAGAAAAAAAAAAATCTAAGCAAAACAATGGAGAGCAGACATAGCTGCGTCTAGATGACCATCGCTAATGGAAAGCATATGTAGATGACATGCGGAGGCAAACAGGATATGGCCAAGTGCATTGTTTCTGGAGTGACATTTCGCCCCTAAGTCTCGCTCATTCACGCTATTTCCCTCGTTACATTCAACTTTCCTCGACAAGAGTCTGAGAGGAATATTTTTCTCAGAGGAAGTCTGTAATTAGTGCCTGCTTGATGGCCCTGGAATTTCAACCTGTTTTTATAGCAAAATGGGTCAGCGACTTAAGGCGGTGGCACAGTGGATAAGAATAAGAGGGTGGGGTGGTGTCTCAATCATTGTTTCCATCTACGGCCCTGGCACATTCCCTCCTCACCTCCATCAATCAAGCTGACGGCTTCCCGTTCAACTAGCTGACACAAAACCTGGTTGGCACTCTACAGTTCCAGACTTGAAAACGTTGTCCTTATTGTTTTGAACATTCTGACCTCTTGTCAGAGATGCTTTAAAGAACAACATGAAGGTAAACATCCTCTCCAGTGATGCAAAAGACAAAAGCCCTTGCATCCCTGTGAATCAAGCCCTGATCAAAGCATTCAGCTGAACAGCAGGACAGACGTATGCAGCAGGTTTATAAATGAACCACTGTGTATTCCAAGCACCGCTGCATAAATGCAAGCGGCTGACGTGTTTCCGTAGACCTGAGGATGAGAATGATTGCGACGCTGAGATTAATGAAACAGAACATGATCTATGAGCAACTTCTATTCAACCATTAGGAGCTAGACAGGAGCTTTCAACTATTGACACTTGACTTTTTCCCAGATCAAAATGCATAATTCATAAAAGTGCTTTGATGCTGCTGGAGTGGATGAGTGTGCATTTATTGCATCACTTGCAATATGCCACACATTGCACTGAAGTCTACCAAACAGGATCTGTTTTTTGTTATACCAAGCTCTCCACGGGACTGAAAATCTGCCATCCATAAGAACCTTCACAGCGTCTTTTGTTTTAGGTTACGGTCTTCTATAAATCGGAAGTCTTTCCTTGAGAGAGTCAAAATGTGTTGTACAGATGTAGGTATCTCGGCTTGTCACGCTTTAACACAGTCTTCCGACTGAAACCAGGCCGTATCCATAAACATAGTAGACTGGAAGTTTTCAGAGCCAGATTCCCGTGTTCTGCAAGACTTCACCCCTTCTTTCATTCATCATATGTCTGATAAAGACCTTAACAGACATTGCACAAACCCTTGTAAACGGACAAGGAAAATACTAGCCTCTGTAGCTTACTGGCTTAGCTCAAGATCTCCTGACCCTCGACTAATTATCAAGAGTGGCAAGCTGGGAGCATTAAACCCTGAATCTAATTTGAAGCCGCATTAAGATGCATGACAAACGCTGTGTTTTTGACACCTGGGTGGGAAAAAATGCAAGAAATGTGGATTTTTAACAGGAAAGAACCAGGCTTCAATGAATAATATGTGTCGGCTGTAAATTGCATTCGAGAGTGTAAATGTAATAAATAATGAACTGATAATATGCGTTGGAGGACACATGAGCGAGCGAGTTGTGCGTGCCAAGTGGACTGTGCCATTAGATGGAGAAATACTGTTGTGGTGGCTCATGTTGCTTAATGGAAGCGAAATGAAGAATTCCACTCTTTTAATAATGCTTGTTATAATTAAACTCCTCCACAAGTGCTGGGCACGAGAGAGAGAACGAGTGCAGGACGTCTCCAAATTATAAATCATTCATCCTCGGCAGGGTTCCGCCTTTGTTCCCTTGGAAACAGATGTGCGGGGTTCAACTTTGACATCTGATTGGCGGAAAGGGATTTACAGGGGCACGGTACAGGAGGGCTGAAACAGAATATGTTTGATTTGCTGAAATTTCTCCCACCAAAAAGAGTACCCTTCCTCTAATCAATATCCTTTAGAGAATTCCAGGTGACTGCAAAATTGTACTCTCTTCAGCTCGATACTGCACTGTGGGAGGCGAGTCTTTTAGGGTTTCATTAATATCTGAAATGACTAAACAAGTTCAGCAAAGCCAAGAGGGTGAACAGTTGCAAAGTCTACTTAATTATCCTGAATAAAATATGAAGTGGCAACTGTGAAATGATGTGGAACCGATTGGTTTGGGTGCTAGAAGATAAATTTTCTCTCTCATCTTTTAGACTCATTTAAGTCACATAAGCGGAATGTTTCTTTTCTGAAGACTTCCCACTGGTTGGATACGAGATAAAACTCAGTAGCACAACAGCGTGTCAACACCACATGCCAAACACTGATAAATATACTGTCATCTTACGGACATGAGAATCCTTCACTTAAAGTGATGATCTGTAAAACGAGTAGAGGCTAATTATCGACTGCTTCTCAAAGAACATCCTGGTAGAGTGTTAGGATAGTTCATTGTGCTTTGTACAACAGTCCCAATCAATACCATATTGACAGAGACTGGTAATCTATAAGCATAATGAGTCCATCTAAACAAAGAAGATCTTTGAATTACTATGATCAAAAGCACTCGAGAAATCGGCAACGGTTACAATCCTCAACTCGATCAGACTCCACATTGAATCCTCAGGGCTCTGTTCTACTAAGCGATGAAATTTCTTCCTAAAATGTGGGGCGGAATTTGTAGCCACAGTGGAAGAACTTGTCTCCAGTTTCTCAGGAAATGCATACGTCTCACTTCTACAATGAAACGAAGAATTAAACATCGTGGTTCCTCTTCTCTGCTAAGTTGAGGCACCTTCCCCTAATTCAATTAGTTTCTGGTTTAGAACACCGACAATATTTTGATAGCAATAAGGAAAATCTACTTAACAGACCTCCCCTAGCAAATATTTGGCCGTGGGTCACGTCTGTTATTAGCCTCCTGAGGAGTCTCTTTGGCCCAAACTTTCCAGTCAGGCAAAGATTATAAAACAAGTCTGGGTTTTGAGGGTACCCTTGGGGTTTGGGTCACTGAAAAGCCCCTATGTGCAAGAAAAGGCCTGCAGAGGTGCTGCAATGCAATCAACACAATGACTCCTGCCAAGAGTTTTTCACAGATTCATGCAACTAAAACAGACTCAAATAATCTGTTGCTCATGTCACTGTCCTTGTGTGTGGTCACATTCCTTAGAATAAGTTTCAGGTTTCTTATTGTCTCTCAGACATTAAAATCATTTTAGATACACCCAGATGCATCTCATAGACAGTCTTTGTCAAGGTTACAAGCATCTGTTGGCCAGGAAGACTCACTGGGGCCAAAGCGAACCAGTACATTTGGGTTTTAACATTCCATGGCTGTCGACCAAAGGGCAAAATTCAACAGATGTTGCTGCTGGTCTTCAATAGAGAACAGCAAGCCAGTGGCAAAAACATCTGCCTGATCGAGTTGAATGTGAATTCAGCTAGAGAAAGTTTCTAACTCAAAAATCATAAAAGCGTGAGGGAGTTTCAGAGTTTCAAACTTTTCTTCTGTAGATTCGGCTTCTCTATTCTTAAAAAAATACCACACCATTTCCTATTCTCTGCCAAGGACAAATCCCTTCTCCATTACTCATACATAATAGACTGCTATCTTCAGTATATGTGTGTGAATCGCACAGTACCTGAATCCATTCTTTGTTTGAGTCCTCCGCAGGGGTCCAACCGTTCTCAGGGCTGTTGAGTCTAGATCGTTCCGGAGACCAGCTGGGGTTGTACTGGGATGAAGCCATGATTTGGTCGGAATGGATTTCCCCAGTTTCCATACCCAAAGGCTCGGTGCAGTCAAAGTCTGAAGAAAGCACAGAGGAAAAAGGGGCAGGGGAGTTGTTAAAATGTCATTTCATGATCTAAATAAAGAATACATCAGATCATGACCCAAACTAAGGCCTTGCTCTTGGGAACGAGCCACTCAGAGGCAAAGCACCATAGGTTTCCATCTCTTAGCACCAGAATAAAACATACACTCTCTTCTTGCCCCTCTAAGCACAGTTTAATGGAAGCACTGTGGGAAGTGTACCACATTAAGACGCAGACCTTTATTCATAAAACATTCAGTTTAAGCTCTGAAGTCCAGTAGCAAGAGAAATCTTGAGGTTCATAAAAGAAATGCCTTCGAAAGGTGCACAGTTAAATGGCATTTCCCCAGCGTCAGCATCTGGAGGAATGGAAAGTCAGAGACGCCTCTGGCATGTCTGTGTTTTTAGATGGAAGGAGAGCAGGTTGTATATCACTCCTCATGCCATGCCACCCAGGATAAGGGCATTGCTGATTGTTTTGTGACGATAGGGGCAGTCGTCTCGAGGCATGCTGGCCGTGTGTCTGAAACAAGCAAAGTTCATGCTCTGACCCCCAAGGATCTTTTTCCAGATGCTTCGGCACAGAATGTAGGACTCTGAGACAGTGAAGGATGGGGAAATGTTGAGGCTGAGGTGGGAGACATGCTAATTTATTTACAACAGGTCACAGACTCCAAACAAACACATATTGTAGTTTTAAATGTAATTGCACGTTGAAACATGGTGAGCTTGTGTTACCAAATATAACAGCGGGAGCTGCAAGCAGGTCACATAAACACATACACAAGCAACACAGCCCAAACATGCAGGCCTAAACACACGTAGCAGATGGAGAAGGCATGTGTGTTAGATAGACAGTAGTTTTATTTATTCACACTAAGCCATAAGCCCTGTTCTGAAAACCTAGTGATCTGCCTACCTAGACAGCACTTGAAGGCATCAAATTTTTGCTACCTTTTAAGAGACTTAAGAGCGGTGTGCTCTGATTGGCCGGCTATCTAGTGCGTTGTGATTGGCCGGATTCCTCAAGCGTGTGACGGAAATTTACCAGGTTCAGGAAACTTTCCTCTGTAAAATGCGCTGCACACACTCGAATATTTGGGTTGTACTGTTCTGAAACAGTGTTGTGAATAAAACTTAACCACTGATTTCTAGTTGTGTCCTCTTTTGAAAGGCCAAACAAAGTAGTTTGGCTTTCGCAACGAAACACAGCGTCTCCACGATATGGTGGCAGCAACAATACTACAGCAAGAATCAAAGTTACGCCATCTTTCATTGTGTATACATTTGGGCAGTGTTATGCAAATCTCCCCACACAGTGACGTAGACATGTGGGGGCGTCTTTAAACGAGGCATTTTAGGAAGGCGTGGATGAGCATTCACTTTTAGAAAAAATATCTCTTTGGGTTTGAGACTTTAATCTTCGCGACTTTACGGATCTCTGTATGCACGAACAGCTTTTAACGCTCCAAAGACAAAGGAAAACATGAAATCGCATCATATGACCCCTTTAATATATAACAATACATTTAATACATATATAAATATATAGCCTTTAATTCAGGATGGAAAAGTATCATACTATTTTATCCAATATCCTTACAAAAATATACCAGAGTAACCACAGATTTTTTCAAAATACCAACATGTTGTAGAATATTGTATAGGTATTTTTAGTGCTTATTCATTTCATTAGCTTAGCAACTCATGCTAACACTAAACTCAAAATTAAAGGGATTGTTGAGTCTTTTATGTGCCTCTTATGAATTTCCCTCTGTTACCCTTGAAACCTCAGCTCAACTACATCTTAACATTACTTATTCTCTTTTATCTCTCTATCTCTTCAAGCCATCTATCCATTTCCCACCCTTTCATTCTTTAGAACAATGACTGAAAACAACCAGATCTCTCGTCTGATTACATCTGGCATCTGTCACTGTTTGGTCCCACTCGGCAGAGACCATAAATCTTTGACGGTTCTCTGACAAAATCCTTCACAAAAAGAGTTATTGCCAATGGCGATCGCCTTCCTTCCTGCAAAGCACAATATACTGGTAAACATGTTGAACTGCGAGAGAAGCTGCCACAGAATGTAAATTTATGGAGCCAATAAATAATTGACAGACTGCGACTGTTGGGCAAAGCCCCAGCTGAGAACACACCGACTGTATTCTTCAGCATGAGCCGGGTAGCAGAGATGTAGTACACACCTTGATGTGTTCTGAGAGCTCAAGCTGCGATATAACAATGTACATCAGTTCACAACATTAATGGCAATATGCACTTTATAATATGTACAATCGAATCACAAGCACCACTACCTGTCATGTTGAACAGATATGTTTTCAAGAGTAGGTGAGAAAGACAGACAGAGGAGGAGTAAGCGTGAGGGTTGGTAGTGTGTTCTGAAATTAAATGTTTAGTTGGAGCATTGCTCAAATTGGGGTGAAGAGGTGAACCCTCTGGGTGAGCTGGTTTGGAAAAAAAAAGAGAGAACCAACCCTCACAAAGCAGGGCAGACGGGTCATGACTCTCAACACAATAACTTAATGAAAGAGGGCCACAGCTGAGCGGGACGTGGCGATTTAATAACTTCCCATGTTATATCATGTTGTAAATGTGGGTACACATCTGTATACGGGTTTATAACCCCAATCAACAGGGTATGTTTCAATAACCTTGGCTAACAATGTAAAGGCTGTGTAAATGCTAGGAACAAGCATTCTCATGATGTTCAAACCTAGATTTTTCAGAATTTGATTTTTTATAAGCAACATTCGCAAATTAAGTTGAGGGATTATTTATTTTTTTTTAACCTTTTTACATCTGCAGTTATAGGTTTTCGAAGTAATTACTGTACTTTTTGCTTGCCTTCATTCATCTTCCAAAACATTCAAATCTCAAAGAACTGGCCTCTCTACTGCCCTTCAGCTATGGAGCACCCATTGTGTTTATCTAAATTTTGTGTAAATACTGAATCTTAAATCTTGACATACTGAATTATTTAATCTCATAGCATAACTGGTTGTGTGATCTCATCATGGTGACCCATGTTATACACAATAAACAACGTCTTCTAGGATGCTGATATGACTGAGGATGCTGGATGCTGAGACTTCACCTCATGTTAATTTTGTACTGATTTTGTCAATTACTTTGTGCACTTTAAACATTGCAGTAATGACTTACCATCTGGGACTGTCCTTTCCAGCACAGTAAAGTTAGCCGAGAATCCCTCTTTTGCAATAGCACTATCTGTGTTGATTGTCAAAGCCAAGATTCCAGTGTAGGATATGATCCGTCCTGGAGTATTTTGTCCACAGTATCTGCCAATGTATGGACCAACTGTGGAAATGGACAAAGATAGAGCAAAGAGAGAATTTTAGGGATGATTAGATACGTTTAAAAATCTACTATTCAAAATCTCCCATTCTATCACAGCTGATACTGCAGTGTGTGAACATCAAGGACAGTGACATTGGTTGACCTTGAATAACTGCATTGACTGAACAAAACATTCTCTCTACACCTTGTTGTTGATGGAAATGAAAAGGGCAGTCTGTTTTGTATGTCTATGACCTTGGGTTTCTGTTTTCAGTGGCGACCATAAATTCCTACACTTATTGTTCGTTCCAGGGACACTAATGTGACTTCCCAGAAGCCACTTTAAAAGAAAGAAAAAAAAAAAACGTGTAGGAGTTGCAGGGAACAAGAAGGAAGGAACTGAACACAACTAAGGCTGTAAATTAAGAGGTATGCAGTGCATTCAGCTGCGAGAAGGAAATGCTTTGAAGCTGTATTGAAAAATGGCTTTTCATGCTATATGTACACGTCTTTCCAGGTTAAGGCCACTTTTAAACTTTGGTTTAAGCAATGTTTCAAACTTTTACCGTGCTAGATGTGGTAGATTGCAGTGCTTGAATGTAACGCCAAGTTGTTTGGCAACAGACAACCAATTATAAATGGCCCCAGTGCTTGCCTTATTAATTATTCATGAGCTTTGTACAGCCACAGAAACTTAAATTACACTGAAATTGCAAATGTTTGTGCATTTTACGCCTACTGGACTGTCCAGTCAATAAAATTAACCTCTTAAAAATGCAAATAGCAAGATGAACCCAAGGTTTACAAATATACAGTGTGAAATCTCAAAACCTGAGTAAAAGGATACTCAAAAAAAAAAGAAGCTAAACATGTCACATATCTTTGGAAAGCAGAGATTCTTGTGATTTGAATGCAAACCATTTTAAGATACAATCAACACAGCAGGTACAATCAGTGTCTTTTTTCAGACTTCATGCTGTGATCCCATTGTGTTTTCCAGCTAATAGCTCCCAGCTATAGTCATCTGCAGGCATCTGTTTATAAAGAAAATGTAGGCGGAATGTTTTTCTCCTTTTTCAGTGTGTTCAAAGTTCTATTACTCAACACCAGTAAGACTTACAGTGACACTCTAAGGTTCCTAAACAGATCAAACCTCAGAGTGTCACCTTTCAAAAGAGACCAAAACCATGCATATACAGTACTCCAAATGTTTCAAGAACAGCATGCAGTTTACTTTGGGTATGCTCTTTTAGCCAAATTTTTGCAGGAACGCTAAGGGGTTCAAATGTGCAACAAATGACTGAAATATTGGCTTAAGCATTGACGCGCCTTTTTCAAGGATCGCTCTTTAAAGAGAAACTGTGATTGGCTCTTTGAGAAGGTGCCCATTACAGTCTGAAAGAGATTAAACAGATCTGCCAGCTTGGTGTGTGTGTGTGTGTGTGTGTGTGTGTGTGTGTGTCAGCTTGGTGTGTGTGTGTGTGTGTGTGTGTGTGTGTGTGTGTGTGATTACATACAACAGATCTAGGGATTTACATAATCTTAATCTTCATAAGAATTAATTGAAACAGGTGCATCCAAGTGTGTATAAATGTGTGCGCTTGTGTGTTGAGATGGCTCTGGGTGTGGTGAACCATCCGGATTATCTGCATGACTCAACAGGGCTATGAAATTTGAAAGAGCCTCTCCATGAACCTATCCAGCATGTCTGCTCTGGTGGAGGAGGAGGGGGGCTTTACAAACCCTCTGCCAGGCTGTGACTGCCTCAAAGTGGGCAGCCAGTGGGTGATGGAGGGCTTGAAGTCATCGAGGCTTCTGTCTCATGCCTCGCAGCCTTTCCACACTAATGCACTTATTGATTGGTGTGGCTCCACAGGTAATGCAGCTAGTGTCTGAACCGTAGAGGGGAGTTACACTGAGGCCCTATAAGGCACCAGGGCCTTCCCTTTAAAGTCTTGTCTTCAGCCTCCCTCTTGGCTCTTTCTCTGTCACCGTGCACTTGTGGGACACCTTTTTAATGTGGATTTTTCAACAGAGGCTGCCGAGTCTAAAATAAAGCATGCAACCTTTGTTCCAGGTTCTACACTTCCCTCAGGCCTACATGGATTTTGGATTCACAAAAAGCTCTGTCGATTTTTGGAGAATTGGAACAGCATCATTCACAAAGTTCTACACACCCCTCACTTCCTGAGTTTGCTTACGAAAACAATAAGAGTGCAGCATTCTCAACTCTTTTTAAAGAAGTAGTTCATCCAGAAAGGAAAATTCTGTCATTATTAATCATAATTATCTTGTTCCAAACCTGCATGCTGTCTTTTTTTCAAAACAAAAAATAAGAAATCCTTAAAGTAACAGCATATGAGTTTTTTCCCTCAAAATCCATCAAGAAAATTCCACAAATTCTGAAAATGTCTGCAAATTCTGTCCGGACCTGCTCACAAAAGACTATGACTTTGTTTAACCTTTCAAAAACAATTAGTTAAACAGACTTCCTTTAATCATAATTGCAACAATAGGTTCACAACGTATCCTCGGAAGTGATGCAGAAACTAATTTAAAAAAAAATGTAACTGATGAGAAAGTTCAAAAGGCTCTGTCTCAGATCAAAGGTGTCATTAGTTCACAGCTTCTCTCTTCCATCAAGACAGAAAAAAGTCGATAATGAAGTGGAAACTGAATAAGACCTCTGGTCCTCACAGATTTCCTTCCCGTTTTGAGCTGAAATCTTCCTGTTGGGCTTCTGGGTGTGTATAAGCAGTTCAAATACACACGCACAAATAAAAACTGTAATTATCTTGGAGAACAGAACAGTTTTGGTGTTATGACAACAGTCTACATTCCAGAGTCCCTCACCCAGACCTGCCTGGGACAAACCACAGTCTAATGTCCAGAGAGACAGAAAACGAGAACAGCTATCAATGGGATAAAGAGCTTTTACTGGCATGTTCTCAAATACTCTTATAAATTTGTGGATGTAAGAGTATGTGTGCATGTCCAAATATCTTATTGACACTTGGCCATGCTTAGGAGGGGTTTGTTTTGCTTGTGACACAAAGCACATAGATCTGGGCCAGGCATCTGTTCTCCCTTAGAGATCAATCATACGGCATTGTTATTTAGTCATACCATCTGGCTTATCTGTTAAAGGCCATTTCCAGAAGGCCAAAGATGAGACCCTCCCAATTACTTCTGCTCTGACCACCGTTTAATTTCCTTTTCCAGACCGCCTTCTTAAGTATTGCACTTCAGCACTGTATTATATCGCAAATCATGCAGGTTGTTGAGGATAGGTGTGCTATTTCTTTGCTATATGATCAGATTCACAATTTTCACCTGGCAGATAATAAAACTGGTGCCATCTCCGATAGAATGTGTAAAAATTGTACCTTTAGGTGTTCAACAGCTTGGTACTGTGGCAGTACGCTTAAAGGGACAACTTTGTACATTATTTAAGGTTCATAAGTAGTACCTTAAGGGTACATATTACTACTCTAATGTCCTAATATGCATATTTTAGAGGTAGATAAGGCAGAAAGAAAATCGTCCCAGTGACAAGCTGTTGTATCGCTAAAAGTAAAATTTTTGTGCATTTTTTGACAGTGTGAAAAAATCCCTTAGACTTAAACTGAAGGAGGGAGCCAAGCCAAAATCCTCCCATCCACCTAGTACACTTTGTTGGTGTGCTTTGCATAGGAAACTCACATTCTCTTCAGAAAATGTAAACTCTATTTTGCATTGTTAAATTCGAGTATACATTCTTGTTACTTGATATCATGTTCTGTTTCTGTAGACTGAAGTATTTGAGTTTATTGTTGCTATTCCTTTGAAGTGTGAGTATTTGAGAACCAATGTGCAAACATCATCCGCTAAATGATCTTTTGTTTCAAACGTTCAGATTTTCTTGTTTGGAGCAACTGTTCTCTCCAATGACTCACCTCCAGGGAAGCCGTCCCAAATCTCCAGGCGGTCGTAGCGGCAGAACACTCCAGTGGGTGGCTGCGTGTCTGGCTCCAACTCAAAGCTCTCGAACTCCAGAACGATCTCCGACATCTTAGGAGCAAAGATCATGAACGTACAGTCCAGGTTGTTGGGGTACTTCTCTGGAAAGCCGGGTGACTTGATGACTCCACTGCTGGAGGTGAAGTTCCTGGAACATTCTGGACCTGAGGTGGACACCGAGAGGAAGGAAAAAGTTAGGATTTCTTGTTTGCTCACTGAGGCAGATGGAGTAGGCGGAAAAAAAAAAACAAATATCGAAGAAGGAACATGGTGGTCTGTGTTGTTTTGCTCGATGATTGCATGGTTTATGGGCCGTGGTGGAGGCCCACCCTGCTCGGGATATGGCTGCTGCCTTATTTCTTGGGTGTGTGGGCTAATGATGAAGACGAAACAAGACCAAAAAGAAAGTAAAAGCGCATATGAGCCTTTACTTATTAAAAGTTTCATATGCACTCTGTGCAGTACGGTTGGTGCTTAAAAAAACACAATTAAGAAATAGTAAAATATGTCCATCATACTTTATAAAACTCACTTTATCCGCCCTTTAGAAATACACACACACACTTTTATATCAGCAAGTCAAAACATTTACCCGGAACTCTCTGGTGGACTAGCTTTGTTGATGTAGAGTGTCTTGTTGAAGTTCACACATGCATCACTACTTTGCACTTACATGACGGTTGCTCGACTAAAGCTGTTGTGTGATGAATAAGCTCAGAGCTCTAAGAGTGATGCATATAGGATCACCTCTGGATCATCAACACAGAAATGTCAATATTACGTTAGCACTGTACCTAATGTAGTGTGGAAACTCATGGTAATTACTGCGGGTGCAAAAGTTTAAAGATCATGAACCAGAACAGAGATGACAACTAATGATGTCATTGTGGCTAAAAACCAATCCCATATTACTTCTTTAAGTTGAAGACAAAAGGGTAAGTCTTGAAGAATTCTCAAACTGCTTTCTTGCATAAAAATTGGATGGGGACCAGGGGTGCATCATAAAAGTGGTCTGTACAACTTGTGCGCCATATTCTTCTGTTCTAAAACATCTTCTGTAGACACAGATTGAAATTTAACTCATTATTCACTGAAAGCCTCTCAATTTCATTGTGTGTAAGAGAGCAGCTTGGACATTCTACTACATATCTCCTATTATTTTCTATGGAAGAAAGTTATATGGGTTTTGACACAATGGATTTAATTTACATTTTTTAGGTGAACTATAAAATTAAAAATAAAAATAAAAATGGACAGCCTAACAAACAAATCTCCAAAGGATGGAAGAATAGTTGAAAAAAATAAAAATGAGCAGCGTTAAGTGGATTTTCTGTTATTTTGGAACCTTGTTGGGTGCATAATTTAATGTCATCAAAAACTCTACCACATTCTACCACAAAACCCGTTAACTGCTTCTTTTTCTTTTTCTTTTTTTATTTCTTTTCCATTTTTCCTGTGCTCAAAAGAAAATGACCAGCACGGGAATATGAAGCTAAAGAGAGTTGACATTTAGTGCACTATTTAGTTGGTTTTTAAACAGCAGGACATAAATTCCACACTTTTAGTCTTTCATTACACAGAGCTTTAAAATTCCAGACATTTAATACTTTACATTTTCTTTCATAAATAAGAAAAAAAGCTTGAAATATAACACTCAGTGGATGTGGATGTTCCCAAACCCTACAGCCCTCCACTCTAATCAATTGAGACCTAGGGTGTCAGCAATTAAACATGGGGAGAAGGTGTCACATGGATAGGACGGTGTACTTGCAGAAACATTTTGGGGTTTGGGGTTGAAAGGTGTCAGCTGAATGGTTAGCAATCAGTGTCTCTGAAAACTTTCCATGTTGAAATAAAAGTTACTAGACTTAACAGGCTTATAAAGAAATTAAAAGGAGCTATTTGATGATGGAGCCAAAAACTTTCATCTTTAGTTTTTGATAGTTGTGCACATTCAAGCAACTGCAGATAGACACACTCAATTCAGTAGACTATTCTTAAGATAATCTTCTGACAGACAAAAATGTTCTGTGGCTGTTCCACGGGCAAGAAGGAATTGCATTTTCCTTTCGCAAGATAAGAACACATTTCCTCTGCACTATTTCTCACTCTATTTATAAAGTGTATGCTATAACGTTATCTTTTTAGCAAAACAATCCAGAATATACTCGAAGCAAGAACATGAAAGCAAATGTGTTGAATTCTGAAATATGTCGGAATTAATTTTGATGTTGCATTGACAGCATTGCCACAAAGGGGTGCTATAGTTGGTATTAGTGCCCAGTTTTATTGTTTAGGTTTTTTAGGTTTAGTTGAAGCAACAATTTGAAAAAAAAAGCTGCATGAGCTAAAGTTGGCTAAACTGTCAACACACTAACTAGCAGCAAGCTATCTGACATTTGAAGGTGACTCTATCATTACCTTAAATACTAATGCAATATTAAGTATTGTTTACAATATGTCAATGTCTGCGTTATTGGCACACTTGTGTAGTTTTAGTGCCTCTCTGTGGATGGCTTAAATATAGAGTGTGAAATACTGTATAATAGAGAATTGTGGGTCCACTAGTACATTTATCTGTCTAGCAGGAACTGTGTAGCTTCGCGGCTCTTGACTGTGACTGGCTTTGTAATGCTTCACTGCTGTTTACAGATTGCGGTGGGATTCTAGGATTTGTGTGTATGTGTTTGCGTTTGTGATTATGCGTGTCTCATAAGGATTCAGAGACATGTCGCTATTGTCGCTAACCGCAAATGCTTAAAACCTCCACACATTCCCATGTCCCTTGGTTTGTTTCTGCTGTTATTTGCAAGCAGTTGGGAAAAAAAAAAAACTTTACAAGAGAAAACTGGGGAAAACTGAGATGAGAAACTGGAGGGAGCTTTGAGCCTGTAAACGCAAGCCAAACAATTAAAGCTTTGTGAGAGCCATCCAGCTTTCCCTCTCATAGCCACAAATACGTTCAAGTCCTTCTGAACTAAATTTACACTTAAATACTAGAATTTATGGGAGAGTAGTGAAATGGTATTGAAAAAACACAGGCTTGATTCATAGCAGCTAAGCGCTAATTCTGACATTAACGGCTAGCTTTTGTACGATTTATTTTGTTTTTCCGGACTAACGAATATACACGGGGCTTATCTTTTCAATGTGGTGAAGTGGCTGAAGGATTCAGCCTCTGTGGAATATGCTGTTTATTTAACAGGCCAGAGGTAATGCTTGTTAAAATGATCGTTTGCAGGTCTCCCCTTAGTGGAAAAAAAACCAGCAAAGTGTCAGAGATTTAATCCTCATGTTCTGTTGAGATTAACCCTGTTGAAAAAAACAGCATATGCTGGTTAGGTATGTTTTGAAACCAGCAAAGGACAGCAAAGGACCAGCAAAGGACCAGCTTAAACCAGCAAAGGACCAACTCAAACCAGCATCCCAGCTTCAAAACATACCTAACCAGCATATGCTGTTTTTTTCAACAGGGAACTTTACTGTTATTACGTTTGGGGACCCAGAGACCTCAGTGATGTATATCTTACAATACAACGTCTAAACATTTCTGTCATTTATAAATTAACCTTTTATCTTTAGTTCTTCTGACCTAATCAAAGCCATATATTACTGAATCTCTATTCCTCCGTTTTACCTTAAAGTAAAATAAGTTAGGTACTAAAATTACTACACTTAAAACCTGAATATCTCAAATAAATAAACACTAATAAAAATGTCAAAAGCATAACAGTACCTAAAATACACTGATTTGTCTCCATTCTTGTTTCTTTATCTAAGTGTTCTCTGCAAATGCTATAATTTTTTTGTAGTTTGTTAGCTACACTGCACACAGTACTGCAAACCTGAGCTGACACAGCTACGCTAATGCTAAGAGATGTGTATTACTAGATCCTTTGGCATACGACAAAGTTTGTGTAATGCTGAAGCAGAAATGAAATGGCAGGAGGTGTTCTGGGTCTAGTGGGCTAATCGCTGTTGTTTATATTCCATATATCTGCAGGGAGAATAATTAATCTGGACACACACATACACACACCTCTCCTTGCCGTTTACCCCCGTGGCTACACTAAGACAGGTTAATGCAATGAGAGTTTGAGAAGCAAAATTTGGCCACACTTTCCAACAAACATTAATCTGGAGTCACAGCTGTGGGGTTACCCTGAACACACAAACACGCACACTTACAATCTACAGTTGCTGACACATCATTTAGCCAGCCAGCACCGCTGATGGTTCCCCTTGAGAACAAGAATGGGCAATGCACAGAAAGACAGTTTCTGCCTTGGGTTTCATTAGCTCTGAGTGTTAATGTAGGGGGGTTTATTTAGAAGACGGGCTTGCAGAATGACATGCTTGCCATGCCAGATGTGACCTATGCCACTGGCCTGTATAAAGCAACTAAACTTGTAAAAGGCAACTGAACTGGACACAATGAACATCCTCACGCAATCCTTGTCCTACTGTGTTGACACAGGCGCCATCGTAAAGACGTTCAGATAACATCTCTACGATGAATGGCCTAGATTGTCATGAGCTAGTGATGATGACGCAGACTTTCAGCATGATTTTAAGGCAGTTCACTGGTAATGGTTACACAACTATTTACATACACACAAATGGGTTCATTGGAAAAATGTGCCTCTATCTATCTAGCACTCCAAAAGCGAACCTATACTTTATAAACACAATTCACTGCAGTTTCCAAATGAAATTAACACCAGTGTCTAAAACAACAACTTTTATTCCTTTTCACACAAATTATAATTACAATTATCAATTAATAAATATTTTTTTTTATATGATTCCTTGCACAATACTATGTAATGAACTCAAAACATATTAACATAGTGCATGATTTGTAAACTAATACATTTTGATGTTTGCATCACATAACCAGCTCCATATGTATGGCTTTTTTTGATGTAGTAAACTTGCTCAGTAGCGCAGCCGGTACAGCATTGCACTTGCAATATGGAGTGCTTAGGTACAAATCCCGTGAAACACAAGTTACGATAAAGAGACTCAAAGACTTGTACAAACAAGCTAAAGTGGCATGGTGTGTTTTTATTGATGATACATTATTTTTTAATGTGATAGAGTATTAATCTTTTAGTGCCACTCACCGGACATTTAATTTCTGAACTGATGTGATAGGTACAACAACCACTGCAAGAAAACTATGCCAGATTCACATTCACCTGTTTAATATAAAACTAAAGACTCTTTTAGCACCACTCTAAAAGTGTTGTGAAACATGCAAGAACCAACATAAAAAAGTTTTGCAGAAATGTCACCACAGGCGCGTTTTCTCAAAGAACCTGGGTTGGGTGCACAATAAAAGCTCCTGTAAAGACCTCAATCTTTTTCAAAAGATCAATAAAATCTGCAACAGTAACATCAATTTTAACTTTCATTCCTACAGCTCGCACATTAAGCGTTCATTGTTCTATTAGTGGTCCATCTCATTTGGAAGCCCGTTTCCAAAAAGTAACTGCGACCTTATCTCTCACACTTTATTTTTGGCAATTACGATTTTATATAATAAAATGTGTAATTTCCTATTTATTCTCACAGTTACCTTTTTGTTTTTACAGTCTCCTCCTACTACACTGACACTGAGCGAGTGTAACTTACTTCTCCTTCCTTCTATCCCACACCCACGCCTTCCACCCCACTTGTGAAACATCAGCTTCTCTTCGCACTTGATGTGGCTCCGAAAATTGCAGAGCTGTTAACTAGACACATATGTCTCCTTCAACCCTAAGAAAGGCCATTTTGGGGATGCCACGGCAAGACAGGATGACATGATAACTACAGTCTCCTCTTCTTTACGGATGGGATACGTAAGTTTCTAAAAATCATCTAAAAGCCCCTTGTTAAGGATGGTGTAAGGGAACTCTGAGAGAAAGAACATGGTGTCTGTGAAACCGTAGCGGTCTGAAAGCCCCCTGAGGACAGCTCTTCGTTAGATATCCATGCTGTCCAGTGTGGGTTAGTGCTTGGGTCAGGCTTGATTGCATTCATAGATAGCTGCGGTGGAGAGATTCTCATCTCTTATCTTTCCTGTGTGTGTGTGTGTGTGTGTGTGTGTGTGCATAGCTCCCAGGCTTTCTCGCCCTCTCTTCACCTCATCTTCTCTCCCTCACTTTCTTTGTCACCTTCACACTTTTTCCTGAATAGATTCTTCTCTCCTTTTGTGTTCTCTGTTTATTCTCTCCTTCTCTTGTAGTCTTTACATTAAATCTCTACTCTCGTTTTCCCTCTTTGTTGCTTGCCTAAAATCCCTTTCCTTCTCCCCCATTATTCTTTATATGCATTTCAAAAGAACCAATATTTCATATTAAAGCTTGGGAACATTTTACTACTCTGCTGTATCACTCCATCTGTCTTTGTTTTGCAATACTGTAACCAAATTCTCTGTCTGTCTGTCTGTCTGTCTGTCTGTCTGTCTGTCTATCTATCTATCTATCTATCTACCTACATCTAATCCATGCATCCATAGTGACATTAACCTATATTGCTTGCCAAAAATATTGTTTATTGTGAATACTGTCTTTCTACTGTATTGTCTTCTATCATATTGCTGTTGCTGGCATTTTATAAAAGCAATAAGCCACTTGTAATGCGTGTTAAAGTGATTTAACCACGGTTAAGTGGTGTTCTTAAGGACAGGGCAGAGTAAAATCACTATAACGCACAGTCTCTTGTGGCTAATGCGGATGTGTGTGAAACCTGCTCTAATCCACAGCTTACCTCTCCAAATGTAGCAGCAGCAGCAGCTTGAAATGAGTATAATCTCATTTTAAATGGTGTTACATTCTTATAATCATCCCACATTTGAATATATGCACACCTGTTTCAACACCTGTGTGTAATCATTACTTTTACTTGTATGTCATAAACACGCAGATCAGATGGTGCTGACAAGGCTTTCAAATCAGTTTCCTTTTCTTTTTTTACCATCCATCACTCTTCTTATTGCTTTTCACATTCTTTCCCTTGCTTTCTCGCTGTACTTGTCTGTCTTTAATTGATAAGGTTGATGTACGCTTTGCAGAGTTTGTGTAGTCACAACAAATTCCCATGTCCTGGACTGCAAACAACAGTATTTGTTGTTCACACAGGATCTGGTGGCCCACCCATGCTGATAAACTAAGAGGGTTTTCTGGAGGAACACACCCAGCTTGGGGGCGCCCATCCTGGCCGAGTGCGTCGAGTCGATATGTTTCAGATGTCTTTGCTCTCTCCAGAGGAACCTTATTTCCAATCAGACACATCAAGAAGATGAGTTTAGGAAAACCAGCACTGAGATAATGGAATACTGTGGGAGACTTATTGATGTTATTGATGAGCCAAAGTGTGTGGAGGTGCAACAGGGGGGATGGGAACCCAGAGGAACATCTATTGCTCCGGGGTTGCTCTTTTATTGCTCAGGAGTTCTCAATTGCATCCTGTGAAGTATCAACTTTGTCTCTGATTTTCTCCTAAAAGTGTGTGTGTATATATATATATTTATTATCATTTTTTTAATGAACTTTCTATTCTTCAAAGAATCCTGAGAATTTAGTTTCCACATTTTTTAAGCAGCACGATTGTTTTCAACATTGATAATAATCAGAAATGTTTCTTGAGCAGCAAATCAGCATATTAGAATGATTTCTGAAGATCATGTGACACTGAAGACTGGAGTAATGATGCTGAAAATACAGCTGCGCATCACAGGAATAAATTACAGTTTAACAATATTTTTTAAATTTAATAATATTTCACAATATTACTGTATTTACTGTATTTATTACACTTTTTAATACTTTGATATTTTGAAAAGTCACAGTTTGTGACATTATTGACATTTGTGCAAAAATCTCCATTTGCTCCACATATAATCTCATTGCGTCTAGGAATAACAATTGAGATATTAAAGAGATCTCTTTGCCAATTTTTTTTTATTTTCTATGGGAATGACTACACACAAATGGACAATAAAGATGAAAAGAACATCCATCTCATCCTGAGGTCACACTCGGGGTAGCCCAGGGTCAGTATTCGGCCATGATGTGCACTGCACCTGTCCGAGGTTACGCAAACATGCTTTCTCTCGAGTCTCTAGCCCTACCTCAAACACAGGAAACAGATCTGAACAACAGGAAATTTCTGCTCATTGCCGTGACATCTCCAGATAAGAACGACGGTCTCTCGGTGTGTATCTGTGTGTCTCTGTAGGCCAGAAAATGCCAGACCGATAGACCCTGAAGGTCTACAAGTCCGCGTTATCATCTGATCTTTTCTCCTCAAGCAGCTTTCCCACTGGGCCTCACGAAGAGACAACAGAAAGTGCTCTCCCTCGCTTGCATCTGTCCTTATATGGTTGTTGTACTCTCCTACAGTAAATTCCTAGCTTGTATGCATTCTTCTTATTATAAAATGATAGTTACGGCTCTAAAATATGATTGGATGAGCCACTTTGGGGCCATTGTAGGTGATATTCGCCTATCACTTTCTTTTTTCTTTCTACTCACCTGTTTTGAAGATCTCGTAACGGATGGAGAAGCCAGCACCATGAGTCTCGTAGTCAGAGACAAACTTGATGAAGAGCTGGTTCCCAGAGGAGACCACAGGAGAGGGAGCGATCTTCCCACAATACTTCCCGACCAGCTGCCCGCTCTCATCCACTCCATCTCTCACTTCCACATAGTCATATCTGCACAGAGAGAGAAACACAAAAATTCATTCAGCTAAACTATTAACACTATACACTTTTTGTACAGAATTTAGCAGGTTAGATCTTATAGACCGTTTGTTTCAGTAAACCGGTTCTAAATGTCTTTACTTACATTTATAATATTATTATACATATTTTTACTTTAAAAACAATGACTAGGTGCTAGTTATTTGAAAATGACATTAAAATTGTTAAAAATTCTGTTTTTTTTCATGAAAATCAAAAAAAGATAATAAAAGATAATATTTATAATGCATTTTACATTAGATTTGTTCAGTATTTTCCCTTTTTAAATGTTGTCAATGACCCAAATATCAACATTCAAAAACAAAAGACATGTGCAATGAACTGGTTCAGAACAATCATTTAATTTATTTATTTGAATCTTTGATTTGGGTAATGTTCCTAAAGTGTTCTTGTGTGGTATTTTATGCGAGTAAAAAAACCAAAAAAAAAACCCAATATGGTAACACTTTAGTATAGGGACCAATTCTCACTATTAACTTGTTGCTTATTTGCATGCCTATTATTAACATGTTGGCTGTTAATTAGCTCTTATAAAGCATTCTACATCCCTAATCCTACCCAACACACACACACACACGTGATAAATACCAGGTACACACACACACACACACACACACACACACTTATATGCACAGTGACACTTAAAATAATCTACATCCACAAAAGTGTCCTGTTTCTTTCCTGCACTCTAATGATGAGTAATGTATCATGATGTTTGATGTTAGAGAGCTAAAAAGGGGCAGACAAATTGCTGAATGACAGAAGATGGTGATACTCTTCACATGTCCGTTTGACAGTATGTGAGTAGAACAACAGTTATAGTATGAGAAAAAACAGGTGTCGCCTCCACACACACACACACACACACACACACACACACACACACACACGCACACGAGTTCTCCTCAAAATAGAATTTCAACCCTAAAGCTATTGGCTTATGCTGCCACATAATTGAGTCGGCGACAGTTTGGAAGACTGTTGCAGAAACAGCAGCACTTGCACACACAAAAACCCACGTGCACACACATACGCACGCTAATATTGTGTCTGTAATACAAGAAGGGATTGGGTGGGTGGTCCTGCCTCAGCTAGCGAGCGAGCTGGGATGAAAAACTAAAGCTGATGTGAATTCTCTTCTGTTTTAATTCTGTTTGGACAATTCGCTCCGCATACTGATATAATAATGGTGAATTTCAATTGGGGTAGGCTCAGCATGGAATATGATTGACAGCAAGGTCTTGTTTCCATGGCATTTAATCACCCCTGACACATGTAACCGCAGGAACGACGGGAGGATAGGAGAGCAAAGCATCATGGGGAGTAGAACGTTCTATTTCTTTTCAAAGAATCGCAGTTTGGTTTCTCCAAGCTTATTAGGGATGCATAACCAAAATCTTCCTTGTGCATAATATAATTTAATTTAATGTTGAGAGGAGTATTGAAATACTGATATATATATATATTATTAATGTGCGTTACAGCATAGATATGCAACAGAAGACCTCCCTGCTCAAGAAAATGGTATATTCCACCTGCCACACATTACACGAGGAAATGTGTGAAAATTTAACGAAGGTATCACAGACAGCAGAATGTGTGTCTGTGTGTTAGTGTGTCCAGGGGGGTTATGGGAGGCGTTAAAATTGGGGCGCATCTCATACTGTGCATTCAGTGATATAAAGGTTGGGACGGAATATGAGAAGCATGCCGGTCTCTGAAATTGGGTCCCCTGAGGGGGCGGTAATGTAGAGATGACTTCATCCGTGTCTCTCCGCTTGGCTGGCCTGATGGAAGGGGCCTAGAACTCCATCAGTCACAGCAGAAGAGAGTGCCACCGCTGTAACGCTATATATACACTGAAGACGCATGAAAACTGGCAGGTAAAGAAAGTCTACACCCTCTGCAAAAACGCCACACAACTGTACTGTCATGCAAATATGTGAATATGAAAGTAATTTGCGAAAATGCAAATTATTTAAAAAAATAGGGATAACAGAGGACCCTTCTAGACCTTTATGACTGTTTGTGTATGTTATATAGTAAAAAAAAACCCCCAGGTATTTTAACCTTTTGGAAAAAGTAAGGTTAGCTCATATCAAACGAATCAAATTTCTAAGAGATTTATTGTTTGATTTTTTCAAATTTTTAATTTGTCAGTGACACAATTATCAACATAAACCAAACAAACCCATGTGTAAACACATAAACAGACCCACTGCTCTTTTCAGACAGCCTTGTCCAAGTCTTTGCTGCTCACATGATGTTTGCAGAGCTATGACCTCACTCTCTTTGGCTTGGGTCTACTGTTTTGTGCTTGGTGCCATTTTTTTGCACGTTGTTCTGTTTTTCATTCCCTGCCCTCTTCCTCTTAAGGCCAGCTGTGGAAACAGCACTCCTGCACCCACACAAACAAGCTCTGTTCACCTCTTCTCCTTTATCAGTCCGAGCAGGAGACCTCAGTCTACCTTCAGCCCCATCATGGTACATTTACACAGGAATCCTGCCAATGCACTTACACTTTTACTCACTGCCTTTACGGCACAAGTGGCCATAAAAAGCAGTCATTAACTCTCCCAAAGACTTCTTTTGTTTTCTGTCATCATTCTGGCTTGCCTAGCATTCTGGTGAGCTTGACTTACTTAAGTCAGGTCAAATGATGCTCTGAGAGACTGTTTTGTCACGATAAGAGGAGAAGATGAAGAGACGAAAAGCTTAGAGTGATGGTTATGCTCATCGCCAACATCATTTTGGTGCAGTTTAGACATTCAAGTCTAAGCATGTTCAAATAAACATAGACTTACCCGATCTCTAAAACCCAGAAGGAAATCATTGTTTGGTGAGAATCTTTTTCAAGGCCCTAGCCCTAACTCTAAAACAAGATTCTGATTGGTTGATAGGAAGGTTGCTTTAGACATAGACATTACTTTCCTTGTTGATGCCAGAAAAACTAGATTTTTTGTCCCTATCTCAAATGTTGCATTTCGTCCCATTTGTCATAGGGTTCAGTGCACTCTTCGCAGCCATTATAAGAAGTTGTGACCTTTTGCTGAGACTATACTAATCCAACAGTCTATATTTAATTACGTTACAAAAATGTGGACTTAAAAGTGTACTGCAATGGTTTAAGGTGGCATTCGGGACAGGGCCTTTGTTTGGGATGGGTTAGGACTGGGATTAATGCTTCCTCTTTGATTTTAGGCCTAGATTATTGCCAGGGTAAAGTTTGGCTTATATTTGATTGATAGGGATGTTGTTCCAGCTTCAACAAGTATACTGATTCAGAAACATGGCGTACTTGATTAAAACGCTTTACTATTACAGTCAGATGCGAGACCAAGTTGCTGTAAAATCCTAACCAAATTCACTCTTTTAAAAAGGGAATGCACTTTGTAGTGAATCAGAGATTGGTCTGAATACAGCTTGGGAAGATGCTTTGGTGCAGTAATGTGTGAAGATCTTTGACAGTAGCATCCAAGCTCAACATGGAGAGCATCAGTCTTGTTCAGATCTGTCTGTTCTGCTCTTTCCTTTCTCTTTGAGCAAGGTAATTTCTCCCTGCTCTTATGACCTGCTGAATGATACCTCCACCTAGACACACACACCCGAAAGCACAGATATTCTCTGTACTTTAAATCCCACCTAGGTAAAGCCAAGCATGACCATACCTTTGAAAAATTGATGCAAGTGTTATCCAGCCAAAGATTTGAGGGTTTAAGAAGTCGTTTCCTCCTCAGTGGTGCCGTGAGAATCAAAGGTGTGTTATCGGATTTCAACAGTCTGTCACAGAATCACAGTCACCAATGCACAACCATAGTCACAGCGGAGTTAACATTATACTGTACTACAAGCTCTCCTGAAGACATCCTTTTAGCTGCAGCTTTGAAAAACAGCAGGCTTCTTCTTCCTGCACGTAAAGTCTTAGCACCTTCGGAGATCTTGTTTATGGCATTTTTTAGTCAGGCGCGGCACTTGTTCCCTAACACAGATGGACCTTGTAAAGCTGGAGTGGGAGGTATTAGAATAAGATGCAGATGGAACTACAGTAGTCGCCTCAAGGCCAGTGCTGCTTATGAAAAAAATGTCTTTAACATTCTAGCCACATTCTCATTTCTGTTTTTAAAGACTACCCGGCACAGGCTGCGCACAGTTTCATACCATTCCACAAGCTCAGTGGATCCTCAGTGCCAACTTGGCCCTGCTAATCATCTGTAGGACATTATGGGATTGACTGCAGAGGCCATTTTGCATTCAGAGAAAGACTTTTTCCCAGAGAGGTCTGTGTAGAACAGTATTTGCTAATCTATTTCTTTGGGAACTTGCAGGGGTCTGAAACTGCGAAATGGAGTTTGCTGTTAACAGATCAAGAAAAAACAGCAGGGACCGATTTTAAAATGGAGTTTGGACCCTGAAGCCAAGAAAAAAGGTGTAAAGCATTCTCATCAAGTATAGAATCCCAATTTCTCAGACCAGACAACACTCCACCTGCCCCAGGTCTTAAACCACCTCCTCGCTCCTCCTGGTTTCCGCCTGCTTCATTTTACGACCCCAGAAGAGACAGCGGACAGATTGTTTTTAATGCATCCCCTCCCCACCTTTTGGCCTATACCACTGGACTGTTGATAGGGATTGTGAACCTCCATGAAGTCTCTAAGGGCCCTTCGTACACACACACACACACACACACACACACACTTTCAACCATAATAGTGGTGAAAATAGCCTGCCAATCCAAAGGGGAAATTAAAACAAAAAGGATGAATCTAATTCTCAGAGACCTTCTCTTCACTGCCTTGTGATGTTAACAGACAACCCTGTCCGCAGGAATAGTAATGGCTACACAATCCAGAACGGTCAGAAAGGTAGCCCTTATTTGCACGCCTGGGGTTAAAGCAATCAACAATTTATCATAGATTCGGGGATTTATAGTGTCTGTTACTACCCAGAACACC